ACGCGCCCAATGCAAGACCTGACAGTGCCATGGGTATACACTCCTGAGGAGTCTTATGCAAAGACGACACAGCTGTTTAATGCTACTAGTTTTTCGATTGTTCTCCAGCCGAAGTCAGTTTGTGATGCATAACAAGTGAAAAAAGTCTATTTTAAGATAACTTCTTTTAATAAAGAAGGAAGTTCAAGTCTGAAGTATGTCTTCAAAACAATAGTGAATGAATAAGGCAAAAATGAATACTTCTTCAAGCTGTGCTATGCATTATTCTACAGATAATCAGAAATAAAGATCGCTGAGTCATATCTGTATAATGATCCATATCTTACCATTTACACCAACTTAGGTAGTTGAATTTCAAGCCGAAGGTTATTATAGATTAAAATTCTGTTTCATCTAGCCAATTTCAAGTAGGCGCGTAATATTAATAGCCCTTCTTTAAGTGATATAACTGAAAGCTTATTGAACAAATCTATACAAGCTCGAAGATTTACAGGCAAAAACCAACAAGTTGGCAGAAGACGCAGGGCAGCGAAGGAAGACGACAATTCCACCAGGTGAACGTAGAGAAGACAAAAATAGAAGTCATGAAGATACTCAACCAACCAACCAAGCAATAACCGGTCACAACGAACAGGAGGAATTTAACAGAAGTTGTCTCCTCCACCAACAAACCAATCTACCTACCTACCTAGACAGCATCGTCTCAACTACAGGCGACACAGCCACAGATGAGTGTGTCAAAAACAACCAGGACCGGAAAGAGAGCATAACAACCTTTCATCAATCAGAAGTAATCAGTGTGGAGATCTACTGCACTGCAATGCACTGAACTGCCCTGCACTCCACTACACTGCACTGCACTCAGTATAAAGCTGGGACAAAATCCCAATTTTCAACACTAATCCAGTCAAATTAGTCAGTGCTTCTATGTGGTCGTTGAGAGACTTGGCGGTGCATAACGCGAAAAGCATTCCCGACAAACAACTGAAGACATACATCATCAACAGCTGCCACCTACTCTCACTCCATACTGACATTGAATATCGATGAGATGGATGGCGAGAAAAATAGGAATAAGTAAGGAGGAACTGTGGCTGGCTGGCTGGCTGGCTGGCTGGCTGGCTGGCTGGCTGGCTGGCTGGCTGGCTGGCTGGCTGGCTGGCTGGCTGGCTGGCTGGCTGGCTGCTGGCTGGCTGGCTGGCTGGCTGGCTGGCTGGCTGGCTGGCTGGCTGGCTGGCTGGCTGGCTGGCTGGCTGACAACGAACCAACCGACCAACAACCTATCACCCATCAGATCTGCAGAGGAAGAAAGTGAAGATGGATTGGATTGGACATAGACTGAGAAGGTTGTTTGAGACATCACCCGTGAGACCAGGACAGACCCTCGAGTTGAAGCCAAGTTGGAAACGACGAGTGGGGCGTTGGAGAAGAGGTTAACGTAGAGGAGATTGTGTGAGTGAGCAATGAAAGGTGATGGGAGTGGTGGATTCAGGTTGAATGGACTTGAGAGAAGAGAGTGAAGTGGTGACGTGCTACTGAAGCCCTATATTCCACTAGGAACCGAAGAGACAAATAATATTACATTCTGATTGTGTTATGTCATCTCGGATGAGTGATACAATGGCGGAGCTTTCATTGTCATTCTAGATGATATCATCAGCATAAGCTTTAGAAAGAAGAGGGTTATGAGGTTGTCTCTACAAATTATTTGGTAGCTTGTCTTGATGGCTTTGTGTCCTGTTGGTCGTTTCTGCCAAGTTCTTGTCAATATTTTCCAGGATAACGATCATCCACAAAACTTCACCATAAGATGTTTGCATAATTCTTAGTTAACCAAGAAGTCAACCTCGGAAACCAACAAACGGATTGCCCTACCCTACATGAAGAACGTCTTCGAGATTTTAACTAGGATATTGAAGGCGTTTGAAATCCCTGTATCTCAAAGCTATACAAGATCTCTTCATTCTCCGTTATGCAGGCCAACAGATACAATCCCAAAGAAAGACAAAATTAACATTACCTGAAAAGTAAACTGCAGAAAATGAGAAAAACTCTACTTTGGACAGAGTAGTCGTCCTTTTCGTATCCAGTGGCATAAACATAAACTAACAATGAAGCATCATGACGTATCTTCTCTAATATCAATGCATACACATAACTACGAATATGAATATGATTGAAGAAATGTGGAAATCCAGGGTAGATGAAATACAAAGAATGTCAGGAAATTTTTTGAAGCTCAGGTCAGTCAGTACTTAACAGATATATTGACAATGACCCAACCTATCAAGTAATGCAAAACAACAAGAAGGTCAATGTTCAGGTCAATAGGACAACCAATCAAGATAAACATGGAAACAATGACAAGACCATGGCAGAAACAAACGATTACACAGAAAGCCATCAAAAAGACCTACCAAATACATTGTGGAGAAAACCATATAGCTCACTACTTTCTGAAGTTTATGCTGAAGATGTCGTCTAGAATGATAATGATCGCTTCACGATTATATCATCCATCTTAAAGAATACAACACCGAGAAGAGATAATTCAGCGAAGAAAATTTTCTTTCTCCACAATATCATTTTCTATAGCTAGACAATCATATTTACATATGTATCATAAACATATAACAGTCTATTATAAAACAATAGGGTATAATTACGTCATTAACCTAGTGCTAAAAAATGACCAGAATCAACAATGCAGAGTAGCTGTGTAGTAGACTAAGACAGTAGAAATATTGAGGAAGGCAAGGAGTTTGACAAGGTGAAAATTGTTGATAGGTAAGAAAAGCAAATATTGAGTGTCCATCTGATAGATGGGTGTAAAGAAGGTGGAGAATGAGACAAGGTTCATAATGAAGGTGATCATAATAAACTAATTAATTATAATGAAATCGAAGAAAGAATGTGAAAGTGTTAAGACCATGGTAAGATGAGAGAGTGAACATACTTCTTTTGCATACAGAGATCAGACTTGAATTGATGAATTGCCAGTGCTTCCACTGTCCACAACTGTCAAAGGCGTACTCCTTTTGAACTATTCCATCTGACACGATAAATGACACTGAAGGAGGATTCTGGTCGAGTTGTATGTGTCCAGAGTTGACCAAATGTTCAACAATTGAACTGTTAATTGATTTACATTCTCCCCACGACAACCATGCAGGACAGTGCCCCAAAATACCTTTGGAAAGCGTGCGCTTTGTGCCGCCCATATAGCTAGCTCCACAGGAGCAAGCAAATTTGTAGACACACATCGAGGTGGCCCGAAGTGGCAACTTGTCCTTAACGCACTCCGGAATGAGTTGTTGACTAGAGAAGCTGATCTGCAGTTTTGCAGAGAAGAATGGCTTGTTCAGTGATTTGGACAGTCGATTCTTCAAGATCTCTGCTGTCGTATCACCTTTGAAAACAACGTTCATAAACAAGGTCTTCTTAGGACGTGAGTACTCACTCCATATTCTGATTTACTTTCAAGTTCTTATCGATAAATCTGGATGGATATCCATTTTGCATGAGGATCTTCCGTAGTTTATCTAATTCTTCATCAATAGTATCACTCGTGCTGATTCTCTTGATTCTTGAAGATAAAGAATGGATTAGATTCCTCTTTCTGCTGAGTGGCATCCAGCTGTGGAAACTCAAATATTGTCCGTTCCAAGTAGGCTTCCTATAAATTGATTGCTGAAGAGAACCATCTAGTCTCCATCTCAATCAAAGGTCGAGAAAATGGAATTCCGAGTTCTCTTCAAATTCTGATGTGAAACTGATCGATGGGTGACAATCATTGAACTTTTTAACTACAGTCTCAATATCTGTATTTTGATCGATTCTGATGAATGTGTCATCCATATATCTTTACATCCATCCATCTATCTATCAGATGGACACTCAATATTTGCTTTTCTTACCTATCAACAATTTTCACCTTGTCAAACTCCTTGCCTTCCTCAATATTTCTACTGTCTTAGTCTACTACACAGCTACTCTGCATTGTTGATTCTGGTCATTTTTAGCACTAGGTTAATGACGTAATTATACCCTATTGTTTTATAATAGACTGTTATATGTTTATGATACATATGTAAATATGATTGTCTAGCTATAGAAAATGATATTGTGGAGAAAGAAAATTTTCATCGCTGAATTATCTCTTCTCTATGAATACAACACTGTTGAAATTATCCTTCTAGGTTACAAATATTCTTTATCATTTCAAAAGACAGGTGCATAGTTAATGAGATGTATTTTACTTATCTAAAGAAAAGCAAACGTCGAACAAATCCTTTATATACTTATTCTCTATGAACCTATTTTCTTTGTCAGCTTAAAAAAACCTTGTACCGTAGAGGTGATTAAGTTGGCAAATGTGTCAGTGTCATACTTCATATGGTTATCAATGTATCAGAGCTGAACAAAGAAGGGAAGCCTTGATAAGATTATAACAACTTCTAGCATGACAATGAAACGTTTCTCAACGAAAACTTAGCTCAGAGAACAACTCACTATAAGCACCAACATCCTGAGGTAGAAATATTCACCACAATTTCTAAATTCACATGTATCTTGTTATATCATTATTATGTTGAATAATGATAATAATACTGATAGACAAACACGTAACAATGAAGATTTTTATGTTTCAAGGTAGTATTCATCATATGCTGACATCAGTTGGAAAACTGTTGGAAACTTAGGAGCATTGAAAAGCTGCAGTCGTGAGTGCGTACTGCTGAAGAGTTCCGTGAGAGGTGAAACAGCTGTCCAGTACTCCCAGCAGGTTTTCAATGGTTCTTCAGCTGATGTCAGTTTGTGATGAGTATTATTATTTGCTCCCTGGGTTCCTAGTGGGACATTGGGCTTCAGTAGTATGTCTCCATTGCATTCTGTTCTCTATGATGAGTAGTACTTTAAAAATAAAATCCCCCATTAACGTTAAAATGCATAAAGTTTTTATTTAAGAAAAACAAACAACGTCATTTTGTTGAACTTACTTCACCAGTATTGACAATTTGATTCGGTTTTAATGTTTTCACAGCAACAGGAACTTCTTGACCTGATGGTGTTCTATACAAGCCTTTGACAACATGACCAAAATTTCCTCCACCTTATTGATGAAAATGTTTTTTATAAAAACACCGATAGTAAAACAAAATAGGATGTGAAAATTTTGAATAAACAATGTTTATACCAGTGTTATTGCTTGTATTGTATTGTCGTTGGTTGGACCGAATTGATCGATCTCTATTGGTACGGATGCCTGTACGGATGCCTCGATATTGCCAGTCTTTTAATTCTATGTAGTAATGATGGATAGTGGCTAGCAGTGGAATCCAGGATGCACATCTCCACCTATTTGGGGCTCGTCAGCTGAAGGCACCCTCACCCCAGTGAGTGATGTTGTTCCCACACGGATTCCAACTCGAAACTGACTACCTCGAACACCAGAGTGTTATCCACTAGACCACTGAGCTACGATAGCCATTTCTTGTGTTACGGGTGTAATTTTAGTACTGTTGCTTGGTGATCTTCAACGGTTCCCAAACTGATGTCAGTCCATGATAAATACTACTTCTATTATTGCTTGTATTGCACTGTCGTCGATTGAACCATATTGACCAGTCTCTTGTATCCCGGTGCGAACAATATCTCTCACTGGGAGGCAGATAGATCCAGCTGACGAGTTCCAAACAGGACGAAATGAGCATCCTGGATTCCACAGCTAGCCACTAACCATCATTACTAATATCAAGTTTATACTAGTTTAAATACACATAAAATATAGTCTAATTGTATGCTGACAGTTTGTTTTCTGCTAAAAAATTTTTAATTAAAACTGGATCATCTTTAAGTGAACTGGAAGTTCCAGTTCATTCATTTTTACTCGATGTCATAAAGTCAGACAGTGTTTCCATCCCTTGCAGATACAATATGATTCAATGTGTTATTCACAAATCTTCAGAAAGTAAGGAAATTCATATCATTCTCCTGAACTAAGAACTTTCAAATAACTGAATTCATCCAACTTATAACACCAGTAAGATTGCAGCTTATGCTTTCTATACGCTTAATTATGGTACCAAGACTGAGTGATGAAGTTTCTACATTGAACATATTTTGGCGTATTCATCAACTATCCATCATCCTGTACAGTACAGCGGCATAGCTATCTCTCTGGAAACTCTACTATGATACTTTGGGAAGTCTCATATCGTGGCTAAACAAAAGTTTCATGAAGAAACCGAATGGTTTGATGTTGACTGGGTTATACTGACAGGGTTATGATGGCATTTGACACTTCCTGGCTGCCAACATTGTGAAAGGGTAGTTCTCTTTGAGGTGACCAAAAAGGAAGCGTTAGTGAATCCCAGAAAGGCAAGAAGGCTATCTACTTGAGGCTGGTCATACCTAGTATTCCTAGAAGTTTGATAGTTTAGTTTGTTTTGTCCAAGTCTAACTATCACCCCATCTTCTTGCCGCTGGTCTGTCACGGGGAAGAGAAGAGTGAGGTGTTTTTAGGGCCCACCGTTTCTAACCCCCTTCCCTTTAGAGTAGGCAGCAATAGCGTAGCTCTGCTGGTTATCTACAGGAAATAGCCCACTGCTATTACACTACTACCCATCTAACAGTACGACTTCTTCCTCGAACCTCAACCATACTTCACCAATTTACACGATAAGGACAACTGCTTTTTGGCGTAACACTATCCAACAGAGCACCCCGCCATGGTATGACATCGAAGGAACAAGCACTCCGCCAGCGTATCTCGTTGTGTCATTATGATGTTCAGGCCTGATCTCTCGTTAAGACAACTGCCATCGATCGAGATACGATGATGAGGATGAAGCTGTATGGATGTATCTGCATCAGAGAGATCAATTCTGAGTCATATCACCTGGAGTTTTTAACCAGTGATTTCGGTTGTTTCGTGGACCCCAGCTGCAAAGACTGCATTTTGTCACACATCTCAGATCAGCAGTTAGAGGTTTCATACACTGATACTATACTTTATTTCAACCACTTTTCACCTTCATTCAGACAAAACCTACATAGGCCAAAGTGACACATCGATTCAGAGCAAGCGGGTATTTCTATCTGTTTGGATATCCTAATACATACTTCAGTAGACGGAAGTTGAACAGTTCTGCATTATAACTATTTATTGACATACTTGTTATTCTCCGTTGTTTTGTTGGATCGAATTGTTCGACCTCTATAGTCATATGAGCTCCTATGTGGATGTCTCGATATTGCCTGAATGTTAATTACGATAATTTGGTTGGTTGTAGCTAGCAGAAGAATCAAGAATGCGCGTTTCATCCTATCCAGGACTCGTCAACTGGATGTTACTGCACCCCAGTGATGTTGTTCTCACTGAGACTCGAACCCCGTGCCCATCCTTTCAAACGCCGAGGAGTTATCCACTATGCCATGGAGGAACGATATCCGCTTCTTGTACAACGGGTAGCAGTTATTACTATTTATTGACATATTTTTTATTCTCCGTTGTTTTCTTGGATCGAAACGCATGTCCTGGATTCTTTTGCTAGCCACAACCAACCAAGTTCTGCATTATAGTTGAATAATTAGTTAGCCGAATTTTTTCTCAACTTCAATCACTAGTTAGTTAGTTCCCTAGTAGAATACTAGAACATGAAAGCTGAATGAGCATAATTAATCAAAAAACGCTGTACAATATATGTAGGGATATGTATTAGTGTGTATAAGTGGAGTTGTGGCTGATTGGTTTAGAGGGTCAACTTCTAACTAGTGGGTGGCAACTTCGAACATCGCCTCACCTATCGACGTTTGGGCAGCCAGATACTAGCCAATAGATATGGTTCATCGACTACTGTATGAATGTGCACAAGATTGGTAGGTGGATTCAATCTCTCGACATGTATTACTAACTGATTCTATCACAAGGATAAACAGCCCATTACTTAATGGAAACCAGGTGAACTACTTTATTCAACTTCCTGTTCACAATAATCATGAATTGTGGAATGGGGAGAAAGAGAAAGATTCCGAGAAGATGCTCATATTTTAAATTTAAAGTTTCTACTCAATAAAACAATACTGTGTTGATGTATTTGCGCAATACACATTTCGAACAATCTGATACCTCACACATTTACTTGTCTCAAGTCAATATATATTAAACCAAGGACTGGGGGGGGGACAAATACAACAATTAACACAAGCAGGCGATTAAAATTAAGAAAGATGAGAACAAACAGGAAGTGATATAGTTCATCCTAATCTTGGTAAGGAAAGGTATCATTGAAACAGGTCACAAAGTTAACGTTCAAACAGCTTTCAAAATTTTATATAGAAACAGTCAGGGACGTATTCTGAGATTTGTGGAAGCCATAGCCATACACAAATTTAAACCAGCTTTATGTGTACAAAAACAGTTTGTTATTACACTACACCTAACCCTTGGTAAACTTTGTTTTCTTACCAAGATTAGGAACAACTATGTCACTCTTCCTGTTTGTCCTCATCTTTCTCAATTTTAATCCCCTGCTTGTGTTAATTGTTGTATTTGTCCCCCGCCCCCCCTAGTCCTCGGTTTAATATATATTGACTTGAGACAAGTAACTATGTGTGAGGGATCAGATTGTTCAAAATGTGTAATACGCAAATACATCAGCCACATTGTTCAGATAAACTTCATCTTCTAATTACGCTAGAGAAATTTATAAAAAGGACTAACTGTTTTAAATATTATATTGACTCAAAAGAAAATTATTAAGAAGTAGTTGAAGAAAAGAAACACATACCTAATCTTTCTTTAAGTGTTACTGTTTGTGAACTTAACAAGAAATTCGATGGAGGTAATTCATCATAGATTTGTTGAGCATTCTCTGGACTAATTGCATTTGCCCATGCACTACGATTTGATTGAATTTCTATTGGTCGACTACAAATTGATGAATTTTGTAATGATGTAGTATTAAGTGTATTATTATTATTATTATTATTATTATTAACTGTTGTTGATATATTTCCTTGTATTGAATGATGACAACATATTCCTGAACAAAATATTCCAATATCTGATGATGTTGAATGTATTTTATGATTTGTTAATAATGAATTATTATTGACTATAGATGTACGTCGTGTTAAAGTTGGACTAATAAATGGTAGAAATGGATTATTACCAATAAAAGTAGATATATTACGATTTGTTGGTGTTACACCAGAATTTCCACAACCACTACTACTACTTCCACCACCAACGCCACCACCACCACCACCACCACAAGAACCACCACTGCTAGATGTACTCAATGCATGATCTATAAAGAACATAGAATATATAAGTGTAATTTTATTGTTTTCATTGAATGGTATATATAATTACATAAATATACATTAAGTTCTCATAAGATTTTATAATTATAAAATACATACTTGTACAATATAAAATTAAGCCATGTTAGGGGGTAAGTATGCTTTCAAAATAGAATGAGATTTTAGGAATAAGAAGAAAAATTTTTTTCTTTTCGAGATGAAAATTTAGACTGTGGCCAGATATGAACCAGTGACCATCGGGTTTCATAGCTCAGTTAGCAGATCATGTGTGTCGGAAACCCGTTAGTCACTAATTTGAATCCACCTGCAGTCCAAATTTTCATTTCACCATTAATCATTACCCAGTATGAAAACATTTTTTATTATTCCCAAATTTAAGGCTCAAATTAAATTATTATATCTGGAAACAAGAAAGTGTTGTCCAAGATGTAATTGGATACTTGTATACTGTTGTATCTGTGAATAAAGTGTGCAGAAACACTGGAATCATTTCTGATCAACTGTAAACTATGCTAGATATCCAAACCTTATAATCTATCCGCTCATGACTTCAGTATTGTTGACTTGTCATGAATGATCTATCTATGATCTGTTTACGGATTTCTTGAATGTATGGAATAGTCTTTAATCGAGCAAATAATTTAGATAGGGGCGCAGTTTTTATTTGAACATTGTGTGATGTATATATACAATACATTTTGAACAATCTGATCACACATATAGTTGTCATGTCAAATGTCTGTTTAATAAAACCTATTGTATCTACACATAAGATAAAATAAATGAATATATCAAATTACTGACCAAAACACTAATGTTAAACGGATATCCACAGAAGCTTATAAACTACTGTAGCAGTTAGGTAACATGAAAACCAATTCTGTACACGCTTCCTAAGAGAACTTCTCATACCACTCTACCATATAGAGGGATGTAGGCCAATATCAGCCATTAGAGAAAGATCCTATGCAGCAAAGTTTATTATTGTATAAAAGACAAAGCGGATGCTTCGTCCAAAACTTAAACACCTCATGAATGTAGAGAAAGACAAGACATGGTTTCAGAGAACAAAAAATCTTTTCGACGAAATCATTTACTAAGCTGTACATTCGTCAATATATCTTACAGTTGGTAAAACGTTCCAGAATTGTTTCCGGTCAGGGGAAAAATATACTGAATGACGAAAGGAAGTTAATTAATACACATTTGTGTTTAGAGTGGGAAAATAGACAGGGGATTAGTAAATTAAATATAATTACGTAATACAGGGTGAATGTATGTCAAAGTAGAAAACTGAACGAAGGATTATAAAGACAGAATTGCGATTATGTTCATGGACTTCAAAAGTGATGCAGCATCAGATATCCTGAAAATCGTCTTTCCAGATCAGTTAGTAGGACTCTTTTCTCAGCAAAACTCCACTTGATCCTCACCAGTCGTAAATAATTCTCCGTTTGTATAAAAGATAATATCCCTCGACAGGCCATATCCATGTATATCTACAAGTTCACCTACTCCTGTGCAGCAAGATACATCGACCGTAGTCAGAGACTGCTGTCATTACGTATACGCGAACTGGTTTTATAAGAGTGAAAGAAAATGCATGCGAAGTACTATCCTTGACCATGTAATTGACTTCAACCATTCAACCGACCCAAACAATGATTTTAAAATTGTCTATAGAATTCGCCCTAACACCTCACGTTTCCTCCGTATTCAGCTTCTAAAAACACCAGAGGACTTGGCTATCCATGAACTGAAGCCTGACCTTTGCGTACAAAAGCAGTACGTACAGTCTTTGTCTCTACCTTGGACATAATTTATTTTAGTCTTGGTGCGCTTTGTCCTTTTTTCGTTTTTCACCCCTCTCCCCCTTTTTTTCAGGTTAATCTTTGTACGCTTATATCGTCATTATCACTCTGTTTTTTTACATTTAATTGTTTCTGATGTTATTTGGTCATTTGATCATCCTATGAACTAAATATTTTCAGTGTATCCCAATTAAGTTGTCTCACTCATATTACCTAATCCTTTGATTTTTTATTAACGTTCTCACCCCTTTTTAATCTATATGCACTTTATAAACGATTTGACTGTCTTACGTAACCCCTTTTTGTTACCATTCGACATTTATGTCATCAACTACCAACATTATAATTATCACCGCCATCAATATTATTGTTTCAATCCTCCATTATTTCAGTTAAATCTTCCTCATGGATTAAGCCTTTAAATATCATATATAAACAAATGTACAACTTGAGAATAAATTCGTTGAAAGAGTCTTCTTCGCTGAATATCTTGTTCTTGATGTCACAATGGGAATAATGAGTGCAAATACCGGATAAGCCTATGACAGAGTATGAAAATAAACAGGAAAATAAGATTGTAATTACGTAATGCAGGTTCATTCTGTGACAGAGTAGAAAAATGAATAAGGTATACATGTGTAGTTACCTGATACAGGACTTTATGATGGCCATGGCAAAGATACAGGTTAGATGTGCCTATTTTTGGCACGCATAACGCTGGTTTGAACTTCTGGATGGCTAGTGCTTCAGCTGCAGATAAGTGCCTTGATTTAACTCCTTTTGAGTGGTTTGATCGAATCCTGTAGAGAATTTTCAATGAGCTATCGAAAGGAGCTAAGTGGCCTGAGTTTATGAGGTGTTCTGTTATCAAACTGAAGATGCATTTCCTTTCTCCCTTTGCAAGCCACTCTGGGTAGTGTTTGCGACACGTTTCACAAGCGGACGCATGGTACCTACTGTAACATATATCTATGAATGTAGAGCTTAGTAAATGACTTGGTCAATAAGAAAAATGTTTCTTCACTGAAACCACATATAGAATGAGATTTAACGACTGTAAGAGAATCAGTTTTTCTTCCTAAATTTGTTGGTATTAAGATGATATACACACAGTTGAAGAAAGTGATGATATAAGAAAAGACACTCAATAAGGAAGAGAGAAGTGGCCTCTTGTTTATTCAAGGTCAACAGAAAAACGAATAACGTTTGAACATGCTCTTTTTGAATCCAAATTTCATCTTTGATCAATTTAATAGCTACAATATGTTGAGTAGATGTTGGTAAGCTACATGTGGTATTGGTTTTGGAGTAGAACATATGACTCTGAAAGCTTTTATTAGCATCTATATGATTGCCTGCGTTTACTAGGTGTTCTGGGAAGGAACCTTTCACCACTTTCACTTAGCTTCTTCTGAACCAATCCAGTAAATGTTCTTGTATCCCTTATATAACTTGTTCCACAAGAAAAGATATTAGGTAGCCTGGCTTTTAGTATGGAACTGAGGATTGACCGACTATTAAGAGATATGCAAAGCCGATCTGCATTGAACATCTTATTGACTGCTCTAGCTAGACGTTGGGAAAGGATGTCACTTGCAGTGTCTCCCTTGACTTGTAATAGCAAAAAAAAGGCTGCTTTTCCACTGTAATTGAACTACAGAAGGATAATCATTAGGTGAATGTATTAAAAGATGATCATTCATATATGAGAGTCTTACTACAAGACTCTTCACCAGTGCTCACTCGTGAGTCTGTAAGAGATGCAGCTCATGACCGTCATCCTTCACGATCAGTATGTCTACCATTCACCTACTTGTATGCTACTTTTCTTACTCTTGCCAATTCGCGATATTGAGCGATTATCAACCACGAATGAAGTAGTCATCCAATACTACTGAATTCTCAAACGTTCTTCAACTTTTATCAATCCATGAAGGATATTATCTTGAAATCAATGACTCCCTACCCAACCATCCCCATAAACTCTCAATTGAACATGTTTACTGGAATATTTTTCGGTTGTTTTAAGCTTATATTTATTTTTTTTTTGCCTCCTGATAACAAGAAGATTTAGGAACGAAACCAAAACTGGAGTAGACTAGAATATGGTACTGTCTTCATTATTTCGGCATTTCCCAATTAGAATGTAAAACAAAATAAAGTTGACTTAACTGACTTTTCACTATTTAGTACTAATGGCTTTTATGGGTAGTATTCATCATGGACTGACATCAGTTGGGGAACCATTGGAAATCATAGAGCATTGGACAGCTGTTTCGTCCTGGTATAGGACACCTCAGCAACACGCACCCATGACCCGGTTAGAGATCGAACTCACAACCTTCAGGTTTCACGGCAAATGACTCAGTCATTCAGCCCTGGGTCGGTTTCCAATTCTCACAATTTTCAACTTCTGTCAATTCACGACATAGTGTGACTATCACCCAAGGTCTTCAGTTAGCATGCACTTCACTTCCGACTGGTTGACCCCACAGGTCACGACTTCCATTAGAGCTTCATAATATCCCTCTGAACCACTGCAAACCGACCCAATGGCTGAATGGTTAATGCGTTCACCGTGAAACCTGAAGATTGTGAGTTCCATTCGTAGCCGGGTCGTGGGTGCTTACTAGTCCCATACTAGGTGGACGAAACAGGTGTCCAGTGCTCCCGGGTTTTCAGTGGTTCCCCAAATGATATCAGTCCATGATGTCACTACCTCTAGATTAAAAATCCCCATTCATCTCAAAAATATATTACCCTATAGTACTCATTAGTGACTTGCTTCCAAGGGATATCATGAAGCTCTAATGAGAAGTCGTGACTGTGGGGTCAATCAGTCAGATGTGAAGTGCATGCTAACTGAAGACCTTGGGTGATGTCACACTATGTCGTGAATTGACAGAAGTTGAAAATTGTGGAGAATTGGAAACCGACCCAGTGTCTGAATGATTAACGCATTTGCCGTGAAACCTGAAGGTTGTGAGTTCGATCTCTGACCGGGTCATAGGTGTGTACTGCTAAGGAGTCGCATACTAGGTGGACGAAACAGTTGTCCAGTGCTCTATGATTTCCAATGGTCTCCAACTGATATCAGTGCATGATCAATACTACTTGTAAATTAAAAATCCCTATTCATCTCAAAAATACATTTAATTATATCTTCAAAGGGT